TACCCGGCGCATACCCGGCGCATGCCCCAGTATACCGGGGCGTGGTTCCGCAGTCGCGCTTTCCTGTCACATTGGCAATGTCATCAGCAAAAGAACAACCCAGCACGTTTGTTTTGCAAAAGAAACAATCTGGCCAAAATAAACACCCCAGGGCGTTTAATAAACAACCTAAACCCTAAACCCTAAACCCTTAACCTATAGGGCTCTCCAGGAAGGTAAAGCTTACTGACCCTCACTCCCTCATGAAAGCCTAGGAGCTAGTCTCTCACGCGCCTACTCTCCTGAGCCAAACTTAATCTACAAGCTGTCGTGCGTTAAGTCTCTCATGAGGCTACACACTGCGGACAGCTACTCTCTCGGAGTCTCTCATGTGCCTACTCTCCTGAGCAAAAACTTAATCGACAAGCTGTCGCGCGTTAAGTCTCTCATGAGGCTATACACGGCGGACAGCTACTCTCTCGGGAGTCTAGGAAAGGTTTAAAATACTAACACTCTCTCGAGCCTACATCCTCTCATGTACCCGTGCCAAGAAAAAAGCACTCTCAGGAACCTACTACTCTCATGAAGCTAGAAGAGTATACAAAGAAGCCTACATCTCCGGAGGCTACATCTCTCTTGCGTACCTAGCGACCCTACACAGGCAGCGTCCTCCAGCAGCTTTGCCAGCCGCCGCGGTGTCTGGCTGTGGCTGCGCTGGCGCTCCGGGAGCTCCACGCAGCTGCCGGGCGTCCCAACCAAGGCCCTGCAGTACTTGCGCCGCCATGTTGGCGAAGGAGAGGAAGCCAGCGGAGGTTTCTTGTAGCCCTCGGTGTCGAAGCAAGAGGTCTGTGAGCCCCACCAAGTTGGGAAGCTGCTGTAGCAGCGCCATATTGGGCATGGCGGGCGGCAGCCCACCAAGCCACGGCACGCAGGATCTGTCCCACGCAGCCATGGCTCCAGAGCAGCTACACACGACTTTACAGATTACTTTTTTTTTCTGAGCTCACTGCTACCTAACGCTGGGAATCTGTCCCCAGAGCTACACACTACTTTACACACTACTTTTTTTTCTGAGCTGACTGCTACCTTAGAAAGGAGTTAACCGCAGGCAAACAACCCCAAGACACGTGCGGTCCTTGGCTGGCCTACTCCACCTGAGCACACTCCTTGCGGAAGCGAAACAAGCTCACGCGAGAAAAGAGTGTTATAGAAGCTGGGAGCTACAACCAATCCCTTGCAGCGACATGAAGAAAAATGAGGTCCCTTGTCTCGCGCGTAGCAAGAAAAAACACAAGAGTACTTAGGGCAAGAAATGCAGACGTGAGAGTCTATGTTTTCCAGCAGTCGCTATAGGCAGGCACTCCAGGGTCCAGTTCATGATGCCGCAGCTTCAGGCAGCATCTCCGGAGGATGACGATGCAGGCATATCTCCATTGCGCTCTGCCATGACGCGTTGCACGGCCAGGAGCCTGCGACCGCGTTCCTGTGAGAATGACATGCCAACGTGAATCGTGGCAGGACGAGCGTCAAGGCTCTAGGGTTGAGGGTGTAGGGTCTCGGGTGAAGGGTCAAGAGTTTCTGAGTCCTCCAGCTCATGAAACCTCTGCAGAATCGCTTGGGTGAGCTCCGCGTAGCGCAAGAGCAGGACACGAGTCTGGCCTGTAGGCTGCTCAGCCCCTCCTTCCTCCCTCAGAAGCATCTCGTAGAGCTGCTGTGAGCGGGAGCGAATGCGAGCAGCCATAGCTGGGTCGAGGGGAGTCTGCCACGCGTCCGAGCCTTTGAAGCGGCTGTGAGCACGATGCAGTGCCCGAGTTACTTGCAGGGTAAGACTTACAAGAAAGCACGTACATCAGGCAGCATTTTGCGTGTGGATGTTGAAGCCCCGGAAAAGAAAAGAGCCGCAGCGGAAAGACATTGCAGGAAAAGAACGCGCAGTCCCCAAAATGGATTGATGTTGAAACGGCCTCTTGCGCCAGATAGAATCCCTGCCTCGAGCCACACATGTGATGCGAGCTGCGTGCTTGGTTGTGGACTTTGAATTTTGAAATAGCCCTCATGAGAAGTGTAGAAGACGTAACTACATCAGTCGCGTGTCCCCCTCAAGAAACTGTTGAGGATATTATTCTCTCTCACAAGCTCTGCCAACAGCCAACATTACGCACGTGTCCCCCTCAAGAAAGTGATAAAGTTGTGCAGCCTCTCCTGACCTTAATCACGTGTCACCCTGAAGAACGTAAACTTTTTTCGGCTATCAGGAATTTTACGAGCAGGAGCAAAATTATCTTATACTCCTGAAACACGATGAGCTCTCATGCGCCCAGAGTAGTGTGACCTCAGACAACTTAGCTGGCCTTCAGTTGGAGTCCCACTCCTGCAGCGCCGCGCGATGGGCCTGGCGGGCCTCGCGGTAAGCCATCTCCGGGGCGCTGCCAGCAGCCAGTGCTTCGTTCTTGGCCTGGCATTCGCCCGTGATGTCCAGGAAGAAGCTCAAGATAGCCCGACAGGCAGCTGACGCGCCTGCTGGTACTTGCGGGAAGCAAAGTTTTTCCGCTGGCGGCGCTTCTCCTTGAACTCCACCTTTTGCTTGCGTCCCGTCTTCTCGACAGCTGGGGCAGGCTTGGCAGGCTGCAGCTTGCAGGCAGCGGCTGGGTTCTTAGCGACTGTCAGGGGCTTAGGCTTGGGCTTGGTACTCTGCTGCGCGCTGGGCGGCTTGGTCGTCGCGCTTGCAATTGCTTTGGCTGCAGCTGCCTTACTTTTGCCACAGCGTTGCTTCTTGAGTGCACGCTTGGTTGCCGCGTCAAGCGGGTCCACCTTGAGGGCCAGCTGCAAAGCCTCCCGGTCTCGGCGCGATCGCAGCCAAAAAGCTGGTCGAAAGTCACTAGGCGCCTGAAACTGCAGCTAGCAGGCTGCGGCTGGAGCGTAGCAGTGTCCGAACTGGTGGCTGGCGGCAAAACCACTTCTGCTGACAGCGCAGGCTCAGGAATCGCGGCTTGAAAGGGCACCAGGGCTTGCAGATGATCCAACTCAGCTGGCTTGGTAAGACCGGCAGCGGGGTCACTGGACTTGCTGAGCTTGCTACTCGTCAAGGCCAGCAGACGGTTCAGCGCTCCAAGTTCTTCTACTGTGCACCTCTGAGACACTGCAGCATACGAGCTTGCGTCGCTTGCCAACTCCCGAAACTTCGTCAGCTGCACGCGGCAGGTTGAAAGAATCCGGTCAAACCGTACGGAAAGGGTAAGACTCGCCAGGTACTGTTCCGAGGCTAGGGGCTTGGCTGCGTGGCAAGCTTGCAAAGCCTGGCGACCTTTCACTGTGGGAAGCCTGGCATCTGGGAGAAGCTAGAGCAAAGGCGACCAGAACGATTCATCCTGCAGACAGCTGCCAAGAACCATGGTAGGGCTGGTTTTGAACGTGGACTGGCTGTACCGGGCAAGAAATGCCGCAGCGTCCTCACTGATGCTTCCCCAGCTTCTCTTGAAGGCGGCTTCAAGATCCGCCGCAGCAAGCAGAGGCGAGCAGCTCACACGCGAACGCTTGCAAGCAGACTGCAGCAGCGCCATGTGTCCTGTCTTTGCAAATACGAAGAGATGAAAACATGAGGCCGCGCGCAACGATTACCAGCCTGTTGAAAGCGCTGAAGCCACAGAGAACCCAGCCCGCTTGAGCCCAAGGCCTTCAACAACAGTCTCCATGAAATAAATTATTGCGAAGAAGCAGCTGGAAAATGCAGCGTTCATCCACAACCTAAAAATTTAACTATTTTATGCAACCCATTCACAAGCCACTTTCAAGACACTTTGCCGGCAAACCGCTCCCAATATGAAGCCCCTTATCGCCGCCTAGGGG